AAACAAACTTATTATTACAAAACTATGACTGAAGTATATGTTACTAGCTTAAATTTTTGCATCATTTCATGCACAGAAAGCACCAAATATCTTCTAAAGAAAACGGGACTTCTGATATTAAGAATTCAAATTGCAACCCAAATCCTTCCTTAATTCATTAAGCAAGAGTATCTTTTAGTGCCAAAATGCTACCTAATTATCAGCTTTAAAAATGTTTTACATCTTAAAATACAATATTCTGTTTATCCTAGATTGTCTGGGGAACATCTAGTACATTAAAAGGTTTTGTAGAGCTTCTTAGTGATTTAACAGATATCATCGTGCCTGCTAGCAATTTTGCAACATTCTGAAAACACTTTCCAGAAAACAAAGCCTTAGCCAGGAATAAGCAGATGGCAGGAGACCATATTAAAGAATGTATCAATTATTTTTATTAATGGGAGGCTACTGGATCATGATGTATCATAATGGACTAAATGTTTAACAGTTGTGACGTGTTTTGTCTGTTAGGTATCTCAGATGTTTCTTAGCGGATGTTATTATATTATCTTGTGATGGCATTCTTTACGGGGCTGGATAGTGAAGTTTTCCAATAAATGTTTTAATTTCTGTCATTTTAATTGTGTTCATATAACAAACATAACATACCAGCATGTATAAAATGTAACTTAAAAAAAACTGCATGTAGAGTGTGTAATAAAAGTACATTCTCTCTGCATACATTGATTTAGAAAACAAGATACTGTATGGTTAACAATGAAAAATAGCAATTATTATAAAAATATTCTACAGTCTCATAACAGTAATGTAAATGCCTTTACTTATCTAAGAGACTTAACATAATTTTAAATTACAATAATTTTACATCCTCCGTTCATATATACAGCCCTATTAAAGTCAAAAGGTATTACAATAACAATGTTCTTATTAAGATTAAATGACTGAATTATATTTAGTTATTTTACTATATAGAGCAACTGCTTTCCTGTTTGTTAAAACTGTTTGCACTTACTGTACCTTTTCAACTATCCACATTATATGCAGTGAAATAATTTAGTTTTCTGTTCTTAGTATAGCATGTATATCCATTTCATGAATTAAACAAGATGTTAATATTTCAGCTCCCTTTCCTTTTGTATAATTATCAGTCCACTGGTTTTTGTATTCTGTAAGAATGTGTCCATTAGCTTTGAACAGCTGCTACTGAAAACAAGCAAAAATTCTTAATTTAATACATTTTTGAAAAAAACATAAAAAAGAAGTCAGTGTCCCTCACATTCTGTGGAGACACATTCTCACCCAGAGCCAATATGTAGCTCTTCCATGAGATTGCATTTAACAGACCTGTATACGTCTTCATGCACCAGACTTAGTCCTGGAAAATGCCCGTGGACACAAAAGTATTTTTGCCTGAGTAAGAACATCAGGATTTGTCCCTGTAGCCATGAAATCCCTTTCCCTCTGTGCATCTCTGCAAGCCTAGAGACTCTGTGTTCTTCCCTGCCCTAAGTACTCCTCCAAGTTTTGCAGCAGTCTCACTAAATCTGAGCAGGGAGAGGGAGTGCTTATTCCAGAAAGTTTGGAGCAGGGTTACTAGCCCTCCTATATATATTTCATACCTCCTGTTTATCTCCAGAATGTCCTAGATTATCAAGGGCATATCAACACTGCCTATTTTCTATCCTCTATCACCATTTAACGTCAAGGGTAATACTATAACACACACGATAGTTGCTGACAAAAATACTAAATATGACAATTTCTTACTGGAAAAATATGATGGTTCTGGCACAGCATTATCATAATAAACACCTACAGGTATGGGTACATTTAGTGTTCCGGTGGGTAGGGACAGATATGTGTGAATGAAGACAGCCTGAATATGTTTAATGATAGATGCAATATGATATTTTGCAAAAGGAGTATTTCCTCTCTCCTGTTAAGTTTTTCATGCAGGAAAAAGATTCCAGTGCTTCAGACTAAATAATTGTCAGAAGAACGAAAATCAACTTTCAAAAATTTAATGGATGTGCTATAATGTTTTTTTTAGAACAGTGCTTATAAAACTGGTGAAATTCAGGATGTTATTTAAAGTCAATATAGTTCAGAAGTATGGTCTAACTCCCATGTAAAAGTTCAATGGGAAAATCATGTAATACATTCATATTTAATTTCTTTTTCTCCATTATGAGCAATCCGCATTGGTGTATTTAAAACTAATGTAGTAGAAACTACAGTACAAGGACAAATGGCATTTGATATCAACTAAGTATCCTTTCCTTTCATCAGCTGAAATGGACAATACACATCCTACACTAGGCATAATGTGGATATAAATGTTACTTTTAAGTCATCATATTTTGTATTCAACTTTCAATATTAGCCAGTCTTCAGCAAAACTATGACAAAGTGATTTCTTTTCCTAATGAACCTAATTTATACAAACATTCCAATTAAAATGATGTTCTGTCCTATGTTCAATTACCTTTGGTTAATATCCATTTCTCTTTCCTTTCCTCTAGGCCAAAAAAAAAAGAAAAAAGATGAGAATGACCAGAACCCTCTTCGTTGCTATTATTATTTTTAACCATACACTGGAAGCACACCTGAACATTTGTCATGGAAAAGGTTTGTTCTAGCCTATGTGGGAGCACATATCTGACAAGAAGTCTGCTTTATTCAGCTTATATAAAAGTAGTATGCATAGGCTAACACAAATGCTTGAGTTTCCTAAAAACACAAATATTCTTGTTTAATTGGACACTCCATCATCTTTCTTAGCCATCTAAAGGTATTTTAGCATCTCCTTGCCAACCTTCCAGTTAAGCAACTACGATGACACTGTATGGATTATTTTGCAAGGGGCTACAGTCTCGGAAGAACACAGATCTCATGAGAACTAGAAAACTAGTCATTTTGGAGAACTCATTTGGGGAACCAGCAATAACAGAGGCAATATGAAGAAACTCTGAGATGAATGCTCTGTTCTTGAGTAATGTTAATAACTGGGCTCTCCAGTACAAGAGGGATGTGGAACTACTGAAAAGAGTCTACTGCAGGACTATGAGGATGATCAGGTGCCTGGAACATCTGCCCTATGAGGAAAGGCTGAGAGAGCTGGGCCTGTTCAGCCTGAAGAAGAGAAGGCTGAGAGGGGATCTAATCAGTGTATATAAATATCTTAAGGGGGGAAGTGAGGAGGATGCGGCCAGCCTCTTTTCAGTGGTGGCCAGTGACAAGACAAGAGGAAATGGCCACAAATGGAAGCACCAACAGTTCCACAGGAACTTCAGGAAAAATTTCTTAACAGTGAAGGTGACAGAGCACTGGAATAGGCTGCCCAGAGAGGTTGTGGAGTCTCCTTCTCTGGAGATCTTCAAGACCTGCTTGGATGCAGTCCTGTGCCACATGGTGACTGCATGTGCAGGAGGGTTGGACTAGATGGTCTCCAAAGGTCCCTTCCACCCTTATGATTCTATGGTTCTATGATATATTTAAATGTATTTAAAACATTCACTCACTTTGCTATCCATCCTAGCCTCTTCTTGCTCTTTCCGATTATGCAACACTTCCAGGGAGAGTGGCAGGCTCTGTGACAGCTAAGCTTAATACACACTGTTAAAATATATCTTGAATTGTTAGAGAACTTCCAAATATATGCCTTTGGCTTTTGCTGAGCAAGAACTTGGGCCAGCTTATTTTCCCATGTGTTACTACCACATTTAGAATGATTGTGCTTAATGTACATATATTGTATACATCACTCCCCAAAATGTTGCTACGTACAGAAGTAGCAAGTCTTCTACCTGCCCTCTAATTGCCAAGCCTTGACTGCTTCATCAGTGCACATTTTGTGAATGCCCACTCCTCGCATGCTGGTTCTGGAAAGTGGTACATCATATCAACATTGAAGAATATCCCCTTTGATTTGAAAAGTCAACCCTTTCAACTTTGCTGTAGTGAATCCAAAGCCAAATTTGAAGTTAAATTTCCCCACTTCTATGTGTGTAATGGGAATCTTGTAATTTCCCTCCATTTCCAAATGGATCAAGGGATGGGGCAAGGATTAGGAAAAGTCCCTTTAGAAAAACATTATTCTTCTGCCAAAGAAAACTGAATTCATGAAAGATCATAGTATCTTGTCTGAATTCTGATCATTTCTATACAATACAGACATAGCTTGAATATTTGTGGAATAAGCAGCTGACTTCATAGCACTATTAGCAGTAGTGGTTGTTTTAAATTGTGTTAACTGTAACACATAATATTTTCGTTGAGTCCTGTGCGTTTACAAAATTTTTTTGAACTGAATACTTTTGGCTGAAACATCTTTTCTGTCTGATGAGTTCTTTTGTGTCTCCATCACCGTATCACTTTCCATTCTTCTTTTGTATCATTGAAATATATATTAAAAGTCTGATCTTTTTCTACAAACAAAATTATAAAGTGAGATTCCATGAAACATTTAATGGATTTTTAGTTTTCTTTAAAAAGAAGACTATACAGTGTCAGACATACTCACTTCATTCGTATGAAAATGCGCATGTCTGTTTTTCCTGGACTTCAATATTTGTATCACATATGCCTCACAGTTTAAATATTTCCCTGTGGTTTTGCATGTTTTTACAGCTTTTAATATAAACTTCTAATTTTATTTATAAAAGAAGAAATCAACAGATGACAAAAATTCTGGATATAGCAGAAGGAAGTGAACGCAGACTTAAACAAGTTTGGATACTTCTGTCATGGATGTTGTGGTAACCATTTTCAGTTTTCATATTGCTGTAAAAAAATCAGAGAAAGATAGTAAAATGCTCCCTGTGATAAACAATATTTGTGCAAATGTCAGCTGTGAGTAGATGTTGTGAATTCAGGACAAAGTGATATGACTTCATGTCCATCTCATGTTCCTGTGAAGTCAGGGCTCATTTAAACCCTTGCATTGTAGTAACTTATCTTCACGTTGGTTTCCATATTCATCTTGGAAATAAGCACAAACATCACGCTTATATCAAGCTGTCTTTTTGGAAGTGGTTAAAGAATCATGAGGGTACTTTTGCTTTTATAAATCATCTCCATCATCTGTACTAAAGCTGCTCCTCCTGCTGCTCTCTTTTGATGCAGCTGGTGACGCGGAAGACAAGAGAGGATCAGTTCCAAATGGTGATACTGTGTCATCCAGTAAAATTTCCTCTAGCCGTTGTTCTTCTTTTAAAGCTGCACTGAAGGACAAATCTGTAAAGTGTGAAAGTGGATCAGAAAAGGCTGTTGATCCATCACAAACATCAGAATTTTGTCCATGTGCCAAAGACATTTGTTGAGAGTAGTCCACAGAGTTTTCCTCCGGGTAAGACCGCTGCTTGATGACCTGGGCAGCCACATCTACAGCACTGAGAGAAGACATGACAGGAAGACCATGCGCACGAGCCTGTATCTCTAGTTCCTAATGTTTCAAACAAAAACAATTCAATAATTATTTTGGAAGAATTGTGTTTTCACAATTACTGCAATAATAAGCTCACCAGTCAAATGTACAGATTAAAAGCAATAAAAACTGGACCTCTTGCTCAGTTGTGAGACAATGTTTTAAACATACAATAAAAAATACAATAATGTTTAATCTATGATAATTTGCAGTGTGGCACATCATAGGTTGGTTTCTTTCTAATTCCATTCCCATCTTTAGGTGGCTACAAGAATGTAAGAGGTAGGATAGCCTTTCTAAAACCATCACCTATGCTACTGAGCCATGTATATGTGATAGATAGGAAAATGTTGCAACTTTCTAGTTCATAATCCATGGAAGTTCAGACTCATCTAAGAAACAGAAGATACAATACTTGATGATGCTTATGATATACAGGTATATGTATATACCACAATATTTGATGATGATTTATTACGTATAGACATACATATATATGTGTGTATATATACACACACACATATATACATATATATATACTCTAATCTTGCATTCAGGCCATTCAGGGCCATATTCTGATGTTTTGTGTCATGCAAGCAAATGTTGTTCAATATAATACAGCATAAGACAGTCTACCCAAGGCATTGTCGTCTGTGAAATGTCTTCTAAAGTAAAATGAAAAGTAAAAAGAGAATTCAGAGTCCAGTATTGATTCTTGGCAGGAGAAATACACTTTTTCCTTCCTTTGTTGTCTTTCTCAGGATATTATGTGAAAACTATTTCTACAAATATTTCCTTATCTGTCCATGTGTTCCTCTATATAAAGACTAATTAACAAAGGAATTTCCTAGAAATCTAAAAAAATACGCCCCCCCCCAATATTTATAACATTAAAAAGAGAAAATCTATTCATTTTTAATAAATGTCATTTGGGAAAATATGGTAGAGATTAATAAAATCTGATGAGGGATAAGTAGCGAGAACGCGCTGTAGCTCATGGCAACACTTTTATACAAACCTGAATCCGAAGTAGAAGTCTTCTGTTAGCGTGCTCTAATTTCTTCTGTCTGTGTTCTAATTCTCTGGCTCTCTGTTGTTCTTTTTGTAGCCACTTGATGTACTCCACTGATGCTTTTAAAATAGTTCCTTTGTTCCAGCGCATATCACTGCAGAATGTAGAGATAACCTTTTCACAATTGTACATGTCAGCAGAATTCATAAGAACTTACAAAATCTTTTACATTAATATGAAATAATGATTTACATGACTATTATTCACTCTTAGATATTATTGCTTCTGAATGGAAATTTTAATAGAATAGTTAAGAAGCCCTTATATAGTAAAATTAATCCCAGAATGAAAATAAGTGTCAAAAGAAAGTAATAAAGTGACTTTTTGTGGGAGAGCTAAATGCAATATCATGATTCTACCATTACAGTTTTTATATTTTTAGTGAAAATTGCTTTTATTATTAACTCTAAGATTAAAATCTATGTGCAGTATTTCTGCATTAATGAACTAGGAAATATACATTACTGAGGACTTAAGCCTAAATTTTTAAAGAACATTTCAAATATACTCCTCTTTTTACCTGACTTACTAATGAGGTTGCTTTTATACTTGTTGAGAAAAAAATGGTCTATGCTGAATGCCACTCCTCATTGATGAGAGAGCAGAGAAATCACCACAGTGGCTGGCATATGACAAAAGTTTTTGATCAAGTGTGTTCTCAAACCTTGAAACAATGTACAGCAGGTTAAAGACCATAGCTACATGTACAGCCCAGCTCAAAATAAGAATTTCTTAAAAAATGAGATTAAAACTCACAAAACCACATTTTAACTTCTAGTTTACAAGTAGTCCCATTAACCAAAATGAAAGTGCACAAGGGCTGTCATGCATGGAAGGCATTGAAATAAGAATGAATTTTATTGAAAATGTTGAATTTCTGATAAAGTTCCATGTTTTGTAATGGGCACCACTGCATTAAATATAAAGATAGAATCGTAGAATCGTTTATCCAAATTATCCACTTCACTGCACGCAGGCTTAGATCAAAAGGACAGAGATCAAAAAGTTCTGGTTCTAAAAACAAGCCTGAAAAGGACAAAACTGCCCTATTTAAACTGGTCACAGAAATCTGACAATAACCAGCTCAGGCCATTCCTTGGTGCCTGTTCCAGGTGTGTATGCTTGAGAGGAAAAACTATTCTAGAAATTTCTACATCATTCTTGCCCAGTATAGAACAGAGAATAAATTTGAATGGATGAGGCTCACAGAAACATTTAAGAAACATTTTTTTTAAGTGAAAAACCACTGGTAGTTTTTTGTCATTTTATCTGCTTTATTAAACTAGATAACTGCTTTATAAAACTAGAATCATCACTGTTTTGAAGTTATCTGTCTTGATACAGATGAACTAATCTTTGGAGCTGGAAGGAGCTCTTTTCACATTTTACTCTTTTATTATCTATTCATTCCTGACTTTTTTTTTAAAACCTACATTATTATTATGTGTATATCAGGCTTCAGCCCTATAAATACCGATACATCTGAGCAACTCTGCTTACAAAGCAGTTTTGCTGAGAGCAGCTGAGGTCCCGCAGTCCTGGACCCTGGAGTCCAAGGAGGATTGTGATTTTGTATGTGTGTTAGTATAGCTACCAGCACAGTGTCAGCTTTCAACTTAACAGAGCATTTACATGTGACTAGTACAATCATGTGATATTTCAAGCAAATTACAGATGTATTATCTAGCTTAATTAAAGGAGATCCACTACATGACATGTTTTGTATGGAAAACTAGAAAAGAAGTAAAGAATATATATGCTCTATTAGTGTCAAATTCTTAGTTCCTCCTAACTTTAACAACTAAATCTTTCTACAAAAGTAAAAGGCCTCAAACTTAGTGAAACAGTCATCTATCTAGGCTAAAAGAAACATAGCCATGAGACAGATCTTCAGTTCTTTTCCATTAGGGTAACTCTTTTGAAGGCAAAGGAGCTTCTCCAGTTTACACAAGCTGAAGAATTGCAGAAAGGACAAGAGAATCTAATCAACTAAAATTAAAACTAACAAAAACACAGTCTGTGAATAGGTGATATAGTCACAGTAGGTTTGCCAGTCAGAGAGCTGTTACCAATAATAGATACACTACTGAAGTTCAAACTACATTTGCAGACCATTTCTTCTCTGCCTTCTCAGAAATTATCTTTAAACTGAGCTTGTTCAAAGAAATACCTTGAAGGACTTTGTACCTGTTTTGATGACCTGTGCAATTACTAAGCAGGTTCTCCTCAAAGGACAGCAAGCTTCCATTTTCTATAGCATCTGCTTGCACAAGCTTTTTCCTTTACATTAAGTTTGGCAGTTCTAGCCATGAGAAGCTGTGTCCAGGGACAACACAACCTCAGACACAGAGAGAGGCTTTAAGCATAAAAAGAGTGAAAATAATCCACTAATTCTTCCCAAACCATCAGTGATTCTCTCAACATCTCGATTTTATAAAATGACTAGAATTCTTACATGAAAGATTTTTTTTTTGCTATTTCTGATTATTCCAGTCTGACTACAATAAAGTAGTTCCTGTGTTAGCATTTCCAGAGTCTGTCATACTGTGAAGTTCTGTTAAACACCTGAAATTGGAATCCGAAAAGCTTAACACAAAAGAATCAAGAATGGAAAAGTAGGTTTATTTAAAGGAGCAGATTGGACTTTTTTTTCAGCAAAATTTCACTCAGTATTTTGAATCATTTTTAATTTTACTTCAAAATTATTCTATCTAACCATTTGGAATTTATGAAGCATGTGTCATTTGGATATCTAAGTGCTGAAAACTGAACAAAAGAAACAGAGGAGTTCTTTGCACCTTAAGAAAGCCATCAGGTTTATCTCCATTTTCTAAATCTGATGAACTTAGAACGCCCAGTCATTTAAGTAAGGTAATCCACACTTCTCACTATTAAATAAAAAGAGTGAGGAGAATGGAGGTTTTAATCCAATTCAAAGAGAGTCCTTGTAGAACATCTGCAGGAGTCAAACAAGTGTATAACTAACTAACAAAGCAAAAATGAAACAAAAAAAAAAAAAATAAAGCACACACACACACAAGAAGACTTCTAAGAAATATAAATCTTTAAAGGTTTCTAAATAGCATCAAAAATGTCCTTTCTGTTGCTGAGTTTGAATGTAGTCTTCTTGAAGCCATCTGGTACAGGCGTCCTAACCACAATGACTCAGTTATAGTAGTATTTGCTCTTCAGTGCAAGGGCTGGTTTGCTTCACCGTTATTAGTTCAAACATCAGTAAAGTGTCTCCATTTACAGCTAAGTCCCCACTATAAGAAGAATCTTTTCAAATCAATGTATGAGGTGAAAATGCTATGTCTCATAAAACTCCACAGAGAAAATATTGTAAGAAATGATATATCTTTTTCTTTCAAAGAAAAAGAGGGCAAACTGGGGACACAGTAAGGTGTTATGAAGGAAAAAGGAAGAACTGAAAGAGATGGTAAGTGCACAGAGTTGTGATTTGGCAAAACAGGACCATTCCTGAAAGAAATAATGATTTTGATGTGTTGGGCCAACAAAACAACATGGTCAAATTGACGAATTTACGCTTAGAGAAAAAAAAAGCCATATTTACACTTGTTATTTTGATTAATTTAACCTGGCACCACAATATAACACAGTTATGTTTTAACCTAAATTTTCCAAGAATAACATGCATATTTTGATGCTTCTTTTTAATTAGTGCCAGTTTTAAAGCTTGTAAATAAAGCTATTCTAAACTCGGTTCTGATTTTTGAAAACAGCAATCCTGAGAACTTGGGACACCTTATTTTATCTCCTTGTTTTATAAACATAAACCCATATGGCTGTCATGTTGCCAAATTCATTCTTGGATGAAAGAAAACAAGAAAAGGTAATGCCCTCAGCCTCTTTTCATGAACCCCTTTTTACAGGATTTCACCAAAATTAGTGAGTAAAAGTCATCATCACTGGAGCAAAGCTGCATATGCAGCTCATACATTTTAAGAAGAGTTTAAATCTAGGTATTTACTTTTGGAATAAATTCATAAGCTACATCTGGATCCAAACTGAAATACTCAACTGAAACACCTCTGCAGGCTATCAAAATCATAATTGGAACTTGTACCTCGCCCCCATTTCTAATTGCAGCATAACTTGCTTCCATTATTACTTTATAGCTGCAAACCAACAGTGCCATCCACTGTTTTTCTGAGTAATCTTTCAAGTATTCGCCAAATAGTTTGGAATGCTGAGAGGTACACAAGCAAAATTAAAGCTCATCTATCAATGTGTATTTGTAGGAGATCACAAGTGAGCTAAACTGTGTTTAGGAGCTCAGAATGCTTTTTATTTTTTCTCAGCTGTTATACCAGACTCTTGTTAATAACAGCAGCATCTTGGGTTGATGCTGTGGAACGGGTCTATGAATTCTCTCAAAACAGTTGTTTTCACTGGTGATTTCACTCAAAGTGGTTTGTCATGCCAAGCTTGTGCTTGTCTAAATCTGACACAGCTTTAGATTTTTGTAAAGGTCCTCCATACAATCAAAAGTTTTAGTCATGGCAGGGGTGAGGGGAGCAGGGATAGGCTGAAGTATGAATAGATTTTTTCATTTGAAGGAAAGTCTGCACTGGGTCTACATTGCATGTCTGCACTGACACGCAAGTGATAAAGACTAAATCTATATAACCAGTTGTATACAAACGACAACCATATCAAGTCTTAAACTATCCCTGACTGATGTGAGAAATCTAAGGCTAAGGTCCAGAATTAAACATCACACTGAATTGCTATTGCTATTGC